GCAGGAAGACTATTCCATACTCTAACTACACGCTGTGTAAAGCGGTGCTTTGTCTAATACAGATTAAAATGTTCCCCCACTAATTTCCACCTATGGTCACGAGTTCTAGTATTTAAACTAATATTGAAGTAACCATTTGGCTGAACAGCACCCCCCCACCTTAGAATCTTATATACCTAGTTCATGCCCCCCTTAGTATCTTGGTAACCCTTTAGGATTTTGAAGAGGTGGGTGTCGACTCTATGGAAGGTGAGGGTGACGAGTATTAAATGCACCGTATTTCCACCATAATCGACAACATTCATGTTTCATTCTCTCCATTATAAAATTTAAATGTGTGTTAGGTTAGATGTCATGTGTGGCCACCATTTTCAGAGGGATCTTCATTTTAATGCATTCTTAATATATACAATAGCATTATGAGGAAACCAGACTCTAAAATGTACACCGATTCTCTATAAAAGGCATCCCACTAGCATCAATTGTCTCAATCATTAATATTTAAAAGAAACAAAATAATAACTCTTACTCGTATAGTATTTCTCTTATTTTTAAATTTTATTATTCTAAAATCATAATCACCGTATCAATCGCAATACAAAGGAGTAAATATAGACATTGGAGCGGTAAAATCAAAGTGGGCCTAATAAATTTAAAGAAAATTTAGATTGCTTTAAAAAGGGGAAATAAGAACTCCACTCTCTCCCCCTACTGGCTCAATCCGAACACAGTTTCGCGCAAAAGTAATGCGTCGAGCGATTTATGATGTCACTGGTCTAGAACCTTCTACATTCAGAATCCTTCCAGTCCAGAAGAAACGTAAGAAAGATGTGCCGTTATGTCAGTGTCCCTCATTAAAAAAAATCAATTGTCATCATAAGTAACACAATATGAAATTATGTAATATTAGTTAACTGACAACAAAGCATCCATAAGAATCCTGTTACATGTATGGAAATACGTATTAGTTTAGCATTATTATAATGACCAAAAAAGCATTATACTATTACATTTCTGGACAAAGAAATTCACAATTCAGTTCCCGTTCGCACTTTATTGTACAGCCCTATCCGTTTCCAGTTCAAACCAACCTTACGAGTTAAAAGCTCAAGTGATCGAAAATATTACAAGGCCAATAGGAGAGACGCTCAGAAGTCCTTTATGAGCTAATAAGAGAGACGCTCAGATGTTCTTTACGAGCCTATAGGAGAGACGCTCAGAAGTCCTTTATGAGCCAATTAGAGAGACGCTCAGAAGTCCTTTACGAGCCAATAGGAGAGACGCTCAGAAGTCCTTTACGAGCCAATAGAAAAAGCCTACGGTAAGAAAAGGTGTGCCAGGCTCCACTGCTCCCGCCTCGCATCTGACGAGGGTCCAAAGAGTATAAATTGCCCCACCCAGGAAAAATGTTACACATTTCTCACAATAGACACATAAAGGTCTCTGCGTGAGAACTGTCTATAAATACATTTTTTTTCCCTAATCCGTAGACAGCATTTTTTACGGACCATCGTAATCATGGTAAGTATAATACTAATGATAATTAACGGAAACAGTTATTTCTGCCAGTCAAATGTAAAATATTATCTTGATTTAAAACCTATGACAAAGGCAATTCATCATGCCGGTAATGGCACTGAAGATGTGTTTATCTAAATATCTTTGCGATCAAATTACGCTATTCTATAGAAAAAGGTATTCAATACGCTTTCTCAAAGCCGGTGATCATTCTGTACCTCGCTATTCACCATCCTCATATCAGCGTACATTTTATTTAATAATGTGGAAGATTTGACAAACTAATCCGAAAAATAAGCCTTGCTATAAACTAAGCGGAATTGCAATAGTAACATCACCAGTTACACATCCGTATCTAAAGTCGCTCATTCTGGATTAGACCGGCATCTGTTCGTTGTTCGTGTCTAGACAATTGAAAAGTCGCTGGGTGATGGCATGCGTCCAATTCTGGGGCGGGGGTCGTACCGTAACATCTAAGCAAAGAAACCATCCTTGAAACACGTTCATTGAGTTACTTAAAATTAAGTAAAATGTATATTTTTGGGACAATTTTGAAACTACGAAAATGAGAATAAATAAATCGCGTTTTCACAAAAATAGGCCAACGCATTCCGTATTTGATATGCATTTCTTTACAAATGCTCCATGTATATTATTTCGTTTACCTAAATATTATTTTAGTTCGAACAACACGTGCCCATCCTTGTGAAGAATAACGGGAGCCTACATATTTCTAAGCATATTCGCGTTTTATAAACGGTTATTTGACGTAGGTTTGTATGCTGCGCTCCTACGTAGTGACGTGATCCTGAAATGTGGCCGGCAGGCACGTGCTTCCTATCCGCTTCCGGACATTTTAGCACTTCCTTCGCGAGCTGCTTTGTACGAACTTCCCGCGTGCTTCGCTATTTACAACATCCAACCTCGCTGACTGTTATGAAATGCATTTAAGTAAGGAAGTGAAACGTTGCAATTAACCCAAAAATCCATAAAATAGCATCCCACGTGTGCATACAAATATATTGCCTGTCCGCAAACCCAACGAGCTGCCGCAATTTACCATTTTGATATAGTTTTTAAAGTGTATAGGCTAATTCAAGTTGAGCATCACTATTATGGGCTATTCTTAGTTTATGTCAATATATAGGTCTAAGATTGAGAAGTGTGTGTGTGTATGTTTGTGTGTGTGTGTGTGTGTATATATATATATTCGAGGCGTTGGAAGGGGATTAACTTCAGAGTTGGGTAACTCAGGTCCAGAGAGTAAGTCCAGACCGGGATTTTGTTTCAACCAACCAGTTGAGCATAAACAGTCACAGTCAGAGTATGGTTGGTGGAAACAAAATCCCAGTCTGGACTTTTACTCCCTGGACCTGAATTACCTAACTCTGATTAGCTCAGTGTAGCTGACACATTTTTGATGGTAGATTCTTAGCATTACTCAGCATAGAGACCCTGAAAAGTCCTGCTGTGGTTGTAATGAGGTTGTGATCTCTGAGCATTCAACCTCCTTTTTAAGGTCTTGGCTAATTCTGATGGCACTTGCTGACTTTGAAAGTAATTCCAGGTAATTGGACAACAGTATCCTGGCAGAAAGACTTTTATCACAAGGTGTCCACTCCAGAGAAGTGAGTTTGAGTGTTGAATGCTGGCAGGCAGGAACTTTGCCCCTTCCTGTTAAGTCATGGTGTTAAAATGCTGGAGTTAAACAGTGGTCATGTGAACGACCTCATTGACTTGTCTGACCTGTCCTTGTGCTCCTTGTGGCTTGTTCAGTCATGTGGTCCCCCCTCCCCCCAGTTGGTTTCAGTTGGGATCTTAGGAAAAACAACTTCCTGTTTTCACAGTGCCACACTAATGTAAACAGATTAAACAAATCTCTTTGTGATTAAGAACTTATGATATAAGGACTGAAATCAGACCCATTCTTCAACTCTGATGTTATTGAAAGATGTAATTTTTAAGTATGATAAAGCTATAGCTACAATTGTTTCCTTAGCATTAAAATTAAAACCACTTGCTCTTTTCCCCTAGCGTGAGTGCATCTCCATCCATGTGGGCCAAGCCGGTGTGCAGATTGGCAATGCATGCTGGGAGCTCTACTGCCTGGAACATGGGATCCAGCCGGACGGCCAGATGCCCAGTGACAAGACCATCGGAGGAGGGGATGATTCCTTCAACACCTTCTTCAGTGAGACTGGAGCTGGGAAGCATGTTCCCAGGGCTGTGTTTGTAGATCTGGAGCCTACAGTTATTGGTAAGTTCTCAGTCTCTCCTACAGGGCAGCCATTATACTGCTGTGTCCCAGTTCCTTGTCTATAGATTAACTCCTTGTTCTCTGCCTGGCCAGATGAGGTACGCTCTGGGACCTACCGTCAGCTGTTCCACCCTGAACAGCTCATCACTGGCAAAGAAGATGCTGCCAACAACTATGCCCGTGGGCACTACACCATTGGCAAAGAGATCATCGACCTGGTGCTGGACAGGATCCGCAAGCTGGTACGGTTAACTGTGAAATGTGCCGATTAAAGCAACCTGAATAATAAGGTTTGATTAATGCACATTCTGGTTCTGTTTAATGACCTGGTTCTGTTTTCTTCCCAGGCTGACCAGTGCACAGGCCTTCAGGGTTTCCTGGTCTTCCACAGCTTTGGAGGTGGTACCGGTTCTGGTTTCACCTCCCTGCTGATGGAACGCCTGTCAGTTGACTATGGCAAGAAATCCAAGCTGGAGTTCTCCATCTATCCAGCTCCCCAGGTGTCCACAGCTGTGGTAGAGCCTTACAACTCCATCCTGACCACCCACACCACCCTGGAGCACTCTGATTGTGCTTTCATGGTGGACAATGAGGCCATCTATGACATCTGCCGTAGGAACCTCGATATTGAGCGCCCCTCTTACACCAACCTCAACAGGCTCATTGGCCAAATTGTATCCTCCATCACAGCCTCCCTTCGATTTGATGGTGCCCTGAATGTTGACCTGACAGAGTTTCAGACCAACTTGGTGCCTTATCCTCGTATCCACTTCCCTCTAGCTACATATGCCCCAGTCATTTCTGCAGAGAAGGCCTACCATGAGCAGTTAACTGTAGCCGAGATCACCAATGCCTGCTTTGAGCCGGCCAATCAGATGGTCAAATGTGACCCCCGTCATGGCAAGTACATG